AAGGCAAGACGGTGATGAAAGAAAGGTGCGTTTGTTTCGTTTATCGAAATGCGATTTTCACGAACATAGTTTTGTAACAAATCTCCATTTTTTTCAGTTTATGATTTTAGATTCTTTGCGATCCTAGATGTTGTAGGGTGCAGGCTATTTAATTTGATAAATATATCATACCTATCGGTTAACTGCAGATATTAATTTTCAATGTGGGATATTGAAATAATGAATTAAAAATGAACGGCAGCAGATTTCGCAACGTTTCGTTAGCTACTGCTGTCTGGGCTAAGCGGGTCGTACAGGTTTAGGTTGGTTTTACTTCTGTTTAAATACTTGAATCACTGTTTGATTTTGTTATTATTAGCGCCGAGTGTTTTTCAGTAACAGAACAGCGATTCAGGCATTCATATCAGAGATAAAACGAACATACATTCTAAATAAGATTTGTAAGACGTGTAGCCTCATGAAAATTGACTTTATTTCATTGTATCAGTAAGCAGCGTTCGGAACACGTTTAATGAAAACTGTATCGTATCGAGCAAATGATGTAATATTTAGAGAAGTACAGCCACTGATGGAAGAGATTCAGTTGCATTCCACGCTCGTCCACAAGAACATCGTTCAGTACCTGGGTTGCGAAGTGTCGGACGATGAAAGCGTATTCAGGATATTTATGGAACAGGTTCCGGGAGGTATAAAATTTTATTCTTGAGTGAGAGGATTCACCTAGATGATTATTTGTTGTTCAGGTAGTCTTTCACTGTTGCTGCGCAATAAATGGGGTCCATTGATCGATAACGAACCGACGATGGCGTACTACGCGAAACAGATCTTGGAAGGTCTTAACTACTTGGTACATAAATTCTAGAGCGCGAAGCTTAGCTACCCTGCTTAATGGTCTTTGTTTTCTAAGCATTCACAAAAAATTGTACATCGTGATATCAAAGGCGATAACGTGCTCGTAAACACATACAGTGGGCTGTGCAAAATCTCTGACTTCGGCACATGCAAACGTTTGGCTGGTTTGAATCCAGTGACGGATACTTTTACCGGTACCATCAGTGATGTTACTCGTTCGGCGAAGACAGCCGCTTTCTACATCGTCTCTTTTTTAGGTACCTTGCAATACATGGCGCCGGAGGTGATTGACGAGGGTCAGCGCGGGTACGGTGCACCAGTACGATTCTCATTAGCATATTTTTCATTAGCATTCCAGTTAGTAAGGATTCTTGTTTCAGGCGGATATCTGGTCCTTTGGCTGCACCATGATCGAAATGGCTACCGGGAAACCTCCGTTTGTCGAGGCGAGTGATAATCGTTGCTTTCGATTGCTGTTATCTTAGCTTGCCGATGTTTAGCTTGGTTCGCCACAGGCAGCCATGTTCAAAGTCGGCATGTACAAAACTCACCCGCCTATTCCTGAAAATCTTTCCTCAGAGGCAAAGAGCTTTATACTGAGGTAACTGAAGCATGTTTACGGAATGCATTCAGTAGGCGTTCGTCCGTTTTTCAGATGTTTTGAAGCTGATCCTCATCAACGAATTACTGCAGCCAATTTGTTGTGTGACTACTTTTTCGAAGCGTATGTTTTTCTGCTTGTCATTTTGCACAAACTCTGTATTAACCCCGTTATTTCGACTCCTGAGCATTTTCTGTGCATTCTCTGTTCACACGCCCAAAGTTTGGCCTCATTTTGAGCACGGTTTTCCCATTTTGCCGGTATGGAACGGAAACCTGCCAGCTGCATGTAGTAGATTTTGGTATTCTTCAAGTTTTCCGTTTAACCTTGGTATTTTTTCCTTGCGATAGCTAGTTTTCTTACT